AGTTCATGGAGATGTAATTTGTATGAAAAGTGATTTGGATACTAATGTTTGCATCATTGGCAAAGTAATGAATTTTAAATATGAACATGAAACTGCAAAAAAAGATAAGAAATTTCCTTTTTCGTATGTCATATTAAATCCCTAGTAACCAAAATGTTCCATATAATCTTCCTTCGACGTCGATTGAAGATCAAATGTATCATTATTTATTATATGGAAAATATTTGTTTTACAAATATGTAACAGAAGTGTTCCATCGAAGTATTACCCGAGCCTGCTTAGGATCAAATCCTATGAAATATCATCAAAAAAATGTTTTTTGGCAGGAAAATAATATTTGTTCTAAATTTGGCATTTGCCATATACTTCACAATTGCTCGAAGAAATCACTATTATAAGTTCTCTCTAAATTTGTATGGGGCTTTCAATTGATTATTTATCTTCCTCAGGTTTGTGTGCGAGTCTTGGGCGTTCATCAGTATGCGATTTAATTAAATTAAGTCCTTTTTGTTCTTTTTCGTAGTGTTAGTGTACTTTAATTAAGTACACACTAATACTTTTACAATAATTTACACAAATAAATGAAAAATACGAAATAACACGTGGAATTTACCACGTGTTTTATCCAAAAAAATTAATCCATTTGTTTTCCATTTGTATTCCTTTGATAATACATGGATAATACATATGTATCATCCAAGGAAGATTCTCATGGAATACATTAATCTACCTTTTGGTTACTAGGGATATAAATAAGAAAGTTTCATTAAGATTGTCACCTTGTGTTTACGTAACCAAAAGAGCTAAGCTCATGCCATGTAATCTAAAGTATATACCAATTTCAAGTTACATTCTTAGTGTTAAAGAAAATCATATTGATTTGTCAGGAACTTTAATTACTCAAAGGTTCCTTAGTTTACTTAAAGAAAAAATTAGAACATTATATTAATTTTAATTAAATTTAAAAGTATGTTAATTTCTATAAAATATTAAAAAAAAGACTGTTAATTATTTTTTTTTCGATTAAAATTTTCACGACATTGGCGTGAAATTTCACACTACTGGCGTGAAATGACGTGAAATTTCACACCACTGGCGTGAAATGGTGTGAAATTTCACGTCATTTTTGTGAAATTTTTGGCGTACACGTTTCACACCAAGTTATTTTCCCCCTGGATAAGAGCAATAAACATTGTTAAAGCCGTTATCAAATACTTAATAAATAACTTTGGGTATCAAAACAATTTTGAATTTTCTACTGTGGGTGTATTTGTAAATCTGCTGTGAATACCTGTAAATCTTCAAAATATTTGGACACATCTACAGTAGTCAACCTCTTTCCCCAATCCTGGTTTCTACTTTTATAAAAACAACGTGCAATTTTTAAAATCGAAAGGAACGTGTCAAATCAGCAATTCGATCTTTAAAAGTAGTAGAGATTGGATTTTTGGTGATTCCCAAAAAAAAAAGTTTAATACGAATAAATAATTTATTAATCAGTAATATTGACACAGTTTATCAAAAATGATCACAATATGAAAAGGTATAAATTTGGACATTAGTTCCTTTCAAATCATCAGTTTAAAGCTAAGCGCAAATCAACAAAGAACTAAACTCAAAACATCAAAACACTTAGAAATCAATTTTATTGAAAATGTTGAAATTCATATTCTTAATTTTGTGTGTCATTGCTGCAGTCCAATCAATTTGCTTACCATTAGGCGGTGTAAATGGCTTAGGCTACATCAACATTTGTGATTCTTATAAAAAGAATTGTAAATCTGTAAGCAGCTACCGAAGAACTTGTATTAACATTATCGGAAATGCATACTACTGGGGGAATTCAAAAAGTTCAGATTATCATTGCAAAGTTTATTCAAATCAAGGATGCTCAGGCAGCACATTTATTGTTGGAAAAACTTTAACCAAATTTCCTTGGAGAGCTTTATCTTACACATGCCCTTGGAAATGTTAACACAAAATTTTAAGGCTTAGTTTTGTATATTTTATCATATTAATTTGATATTGTTTTAATAAATGTTGAATAAAAAAATTTTAAATTTTAAATAAATCAAAAAAACGTCTTTTTAATCTTCAATCAAAGGCACAAAACATTTCGTTTGAAACTGAAATTATATTGGCTTGTCTTTTAAATTTTCTCATCAGCCTAATTAAGATCCTAACCTATAACTAGGATTACCAAAATTTTTTTTGAAAAAATAGAGGACCTGAATGTAAAATTGAGGACATCCTATGGCTCTCGCAATTTTATTCGTTTTCTGGACGAATTAGAACAAAACAAAACTATTTTTTTTTTTGAAAAATAAAAAAAAAATGAGAACTGTCTTCTGAAAAACCAAGCATATGGTCAGCTTACTTATAACCCGATCGGCACACACACACATTGGCTAGTTTGATAGTTTAACCAAGCGAAATAGAACCAAGCGGTAGCCAATTGGCAATTGCTTTCAACCCGTAGCTTTTTTTTGCCGGGTAGCAAACATTTCAATGTGTGCCGATCGACGTAGAGTTCAAAATTTATTAAACAAGATTATTTTGACATGTTTGAAATAAAATTGAGATCAACAATATGCGCAGCAACTTTTCTCTTGATGAATCATAACAGCATTCTGTCAATGATCCCAGCACACAAATCTTTAAGCTGATATTCAACTAGTTTTAAAAACCAAATAGCGACAATTTATTGTCGGTCAATAATCTATCGATGTATAATATCAGATTAGTAAACTATCAATTGTTAAACGGAACCGCAGCATTTATGATGCTAATAATCTATTCATTTCAAGTGGCGAAAAAAGTAGCAAAAACACAAAACGAAACGAGAGAAAAAAAAGAGATCTTTGAACAATTTATGTTGTGTGGCTGTTGCATACATTTTAGCAGCTTTCTATGTAAAGCAGCAGCCCAGCAATTTGAATAATTTTTCAATTGAAAATTCAATTCTTTCCTCAGCTCATGATTATTGTCGATTTAATATATCATGAATTTACAACAAATTGACTTCGAATTGCAATAATATTCTCGACTCTGTTTTTTGTTCGTCATTGTTGTTGGCTTGTTGGTGCTGTGGTACACAATAACTTGTTAAGCCTCTCTGCCTCGTTTCATATTCTATTTCTATTTATAAAATTCAAATTTGTTCAACATTCATTCTTCGTGTCTATTTATGCACAATAATAGAACACATAACACGATGCTCTTGGCGCGATAGAAGATGCCATGAATTGCATAATAATTTTTTATGATTGTCACCAAAAATAATAATTTTAAATCTTATGCAATTGTGTTATTTTTTTTTATCATTTTACACTTCGTTGAAATTGCGACTCAATTTTTTGTTTTTACTTTAATAATTTTAAAGATCGTTAAACACCACTAATCATCAGCTTATATGAATGTATTATGTAAGAGACACGAACTGATTTGTTTCTAAAGTCATTGAATGACAACACAAAAAAGTATATGTGCTGTTTTTCCTTCATTTGATAATTATAGTTATCATTACGTTTTGTGCTGACGAGTGTAAAAAGTGAAATCTGTTGATGAAGGTTAGGATGAGGATTATGAAATAAAAATTAGTGAGATGGAAATGTTTAAGATTGTGGAAAATTGGATAACTTATGTTGAAATCAAGGGTGTAGTAATAATGAAATGATCAAATATGATCAAAAATGATCAAAATATAATTCTTCAGTTCCACACCCTTTAAACTTATTTCAACTTTTAAAAGAAACAAAATTCTCAATTTTAAACTCGAAAGACTCCAAAACATCTCAAAAACTCACCGCTTGCGCCAAAATTACCACAACCAAAAAATTCTTTCTCCTGATAACTTCAATCAAAAGATAAACACTTACTTAAAACCTCATGCTGAACTTCTATCATTACGAAAAGATATTAAGCTTCCACCTCATTCGATACCTACCGCATACCAAACAAGCAAATTTAACAAAATCGAAACACATCGTTGGCAGAGTGAGAGGAGCAAAATAAGGAATTAAAAGAAAGCAATGAAGATATTTTTCATCACTGATATGAGAGGCTTAATGTAATTTTTATGTTTGCCGATTGTGAGCTGATTCAAACTTGCTACCATACACATTTGTGTACAGAATATTTCTGGTGCTACAGGTTGAGCTTTAAAAAAACAGTTTCTTAATCATAATAAGACAGATTTGAGGAATTAGAAACTGGAACACCATAAATGCAAACTCAAAATTAAGAGCTAGCAGATATCTACTTAATATGATGCTTTCAACATTAATTTTAACGTAATGTGTATATATTAAGGGCTCCCCCACTTCCTCGCTATATGACTGTAATTTCAAAATACACACATGTATGTTTCATTTCATTACTCAAAAGAATTTGGACTGTGAGAACCTTTATTTTGTCTTAACTTTATTTCTATGAGAATTTCATCAATTGTTTTCCAAGACACGGTGCCTCATTCTGCATTTTTTATGTATTAATTTTCTTTATGTTAACATGCTATCTGGTGCTCTCGTAAAGTGCTCTCGTTATTGCAAATTAATGAATACAATTACAGTTGTGTGTTGAAAGTCAATGAACTGATTATGGATCTGAATTCTTTTTATGTTTTCTTTTTATGAATTTTTTGCCTCAGTTTTGAGATTTTTGAGATTTTTAACATTTATGGCAGCTAAGGAACCGAAAGAGAAGAAATTTTAGAAGCTGGAATGAAATCAGCATCAACAAAGCACATCCAACATCCCAAGCGGCATATCATAGTCGCTTTAAAATCATGATGACACCAAACAGGCTATAATGTAACATTCTTGCATGCTTAATGTTATTCAAAAATCTCAATTTTATTAAAATAATTTCAAGATTAAGTCGCTCTTTAATGAGAGGTTCTTCCAGGTTCTTCCTGTAATCCATGCCTCTGATAGTTTCTGACCCTCATGTTGATGTTCCAGACAAAACAGAACATTCCGTTAATAAATAAATAAATACACAAATCAAATAAAACAATTCAAGCTCCACACACAATTCAAAATATTTATTAAAATAAATTAAGTTCCATTCCATTCCAATCGATTCTGTCCTCAGAAGTCCTCACAACCACTCACTCACTGTTCACTCTGAAACTTCAGCGATGTCATTTCCTTGTTACACATGTAAAGATTCTCTGACAGCAAAATATTAATCTCTGCCATGACAGTCAACAGCTCCGATGGTCTAGTTGCAAGCAAGTCCTCATCATAATTGGAAATTGTTTGCTGAAACTTGTGGACTTTCCTCAAGCACTCAAGTACAGTTGCTTTAGCCTCATTCAGTGACGCCTTGTATCTCTTGTCATAGTCCGCTTTCATTTTTTCAACAACTTTCAGATACTCTAATTCATCATCTTCAAGATCGCATAACTTAATTGGCCACGTTATAGTCTTTTCGGCACACTTTTGGCGAATTTTTAATTGCTTCATTTCAGCTAGAAATTTTCTTTTGACTTTTGTCTGCATTCTGGTGCTGAATGTTGAAGGTTTGTGCTTGAGCGACAGAATTTTAATGAATTAAATTAAATTTACAATTAAATTACAGCAAAAAGAACTGTTTTGCAGAAAAAAATTGAAATTGAAATGTTTTGCTTGGTTTGAAATGTTTATGATAAATAAATAAATTAACACGTTTGTTATGACAACGAAAATACATTTTCGAATATATCAACGTGAATGCTTACGATTGACATAGAAAATTGGGAAACAACGTTGTGTTAAAAGTGCAGTTTGAATGCTTTTGGGTGACCAGATGAATAAAGTGAATCAGTTGATAAAATGAAGACAAATAATTCAGAGTTAAAAAAGTAATGAACATTTCTAAAATCAAAAGAAAAACCATCGCAGTTATTATTGAAATTTTGTCAAATTCAATTAATTTTCCTCGTAATTGTAAAGTTGAAAATTCAGTCCATTAATCATATTCATACCAAATTTTCAATATTAGTAACTTTTTGCTATGTTTTTAGCTAGAACAAAGTATTTTGAATCTAGAAGATTGTTTAACACACTGGGGATGGCTCTTTTGTAAGTATTAAAGTTCAAATTTACCTGTATTAATCTAGAAATAACATAATAAAATCCATACTGCAATAATATGAATGTAATACTTAGAATCAAGCTACAGCTACTAAGCAGCTACTTTCAATTAGCTTTTGAAACAGCTATCTTTCACAAATGTCCAAAATTCGCTTGCCATTTGAACCTATAACACTATCTGATTAACAACAGCATCGAAAACATTTAAATATATGCTGATCAAGTATTCATCTTATCTTTATCTCATTATAAAGCACATAAAAATCCGATAATTCCTTAAATTGCATTAAATCTCATTCAGTATCATCTAGGGTTGGGCAAATATTCGAATATGAACAAAAAAATATTCGAATATATTCGAATATGAACAAAAAAATATTCGAATATATTCGAATATGAACAAAAAAATATTCGAATATGAACAAAAAAATATTCGAATATTAGAAATTCAAAAATGAAAAAATACGTTATTTGTTACTTAGCATTTTTCAACTGTCTGTAATTTGTAAATGATAAACAATTTATATATAAGAATTAAAGACATTTAATTGTTAAACATGCTATAATTAATGATTTTTTGCATGTAATGTATCCTTTGGCGGGAAGCTTTCAAAAAATTACTGACTGTTAGAAAATTTGAATTTCAAAAAACCGTTAACGATAAACTTTTTCTATATGGAAATTTATTGGAACAAATCATGTAATTATACTATAACTAATGTTTTCGTAATGCAACTTTTAGCGAAAAAATTTTCAAATACTTATTGACCGTTAAAACTTTTGAAACCGTTAAATGGTTTCGGCACTTATCTTTTCCTTTAAAAGGCAACTTTAAATATTATTTGATATCAAATTTTTTCATTTGAAAAAATCATGTTAAATAATTACTAAAATAGATCTAATTTTATAAAAAGCAATGAAAGTACTTACTTTAGCCGAATACGTCGATATTTTAGTTGTAAGTTATTTAATTAATTGTTAAACATTTAAAGAAAAAAAATTACGATTAACAACGGTTATTTTTTGAATTATGTACATTCGAATATATATTCGAATATATGCGCACATTATATTCGAATACGATTCTGCCCAACCCTAGTATCATCACAACAACCATAATAAGCTCTAAAAACTGAACAGAGGCATCAGCAACAATATAAATTTCACCCAAAAAAATGCGCTTCATTAATTCACGCAGTTCCTTAAGCTTTTCATTCAACTCAATTTTATTGTTTTGTTTTGAACATCAAAACAAACTTCCGTCGATAGCAACAGGTGACGAACATGCCAACTATAAATATTCCTCTCATCCAAGTATTTCTGCGAATGTTAAATCAGCTGGACACTTTAATTAAGTGCTTAAATTTCGTTCAGATTCAGTTCCTTCATAATAACGGAATTAAATTAATTAAGTTATCTTACTGTTTGTTCAGTCAATTCAATACCGCTTCTTCTTTATACTTAATCTTCTTTGACCGAAGGCAAAATAAAACTCCAAAAAAAATAAATAAAACAAAGTCAGAAAAATGTTGACGCCACTGGACGGTCGATTGCTTAATTTTTTTTATTCCTCCATTGTGCTTGGTTTTATCAGCATAATTAATATTTTCTCACGGCCAATACATTTTTGTGTATTGCTCTTTACTTTTCTGGCACAAGTCATCGTCACTACTATCAAAAAAGAACTTATTTTTTGTGAACTTTGCTCGATATTTATGGCGATTAGAAAAAGTATGCGGAATTGACTTTAAAGTTCTTAATTTATTTTCATCAATTATTAGAAATTTAAATGCAAATTTTTTCAATATATAAATTTTAATTAAATCTAATTCCATTAGGATCATAAATTTTCTAGTAATCGCGATCGACTGTCGCAATTTCATGGACAATATTTCGCACAAATATGATCAAACTTACTGAAAATTTGATTGTGTAAGTAAGATTTAAATGTATTGTGGATGTGCTGGTGTTGAGGTATTGCCATCTCTGACGATCAGACAAATATGTTTATCTCTTTCACACATCCAATGATTAAGTTTTGTGTGTTGGATTTTCTATCTCGTTTTGTGCTAGCTTAAATAATAAGGTTAGAGTAGAGAAGTTTGTTGGGGTTTAATACGTCTTATTGTCTGTTTTGATTAATCGTTCTTGGATTATCTGTTAAAAAGTGAACAAATAGATTCGAGAAGTTGGTTTAAAGAGCTAGCTGCGACTTCCTACTCTAAATATGTGTGACTAAGGTTAAGTACCAATACCTGAATTGGATGTGTTGATAAGGACGCTAGAGTCCTTAATATCCCGAACTGGCAGAAGGTCTCGAAGTATAGAGCTGCCTTTAGATGACTCTGAACGCTTTAGTAGTTCCTTGCGTTCAATAGTTCAAAAAGTTTAAACACAATTTATTTTTGAAGAACCTTATTAATACCGACAAGTGTAATGACACACAAACCTAGAAATAGCTATAAAAATTTTAATTATTCGGTCATAACTTTTATATTGTACTTAATAAGACTTACTTATTAGATAATCACGACATTTTATTATTTTTTTAAATGTTATTTTTAAAGTGAATATTGAACTTTACTTAATTAATTTTTTATGTTGTTGATTAGGTTGGAAGGACAAGGAAATGATTTAAAAAATCAAAGAGTATTTTTGAGACCTGTACTCGAAGATTTACATGATCTTCATGAGCAATCAGAACAAATTTACTTATAAGAAGACGATTTCTTATCATTTTCTTGGTTAAGTGCATCTATAATTGGAAGAAATAATACAAAGGAAAGCTTTAATGCTAAATATTTAACTAAAGTGTTGAAATCACTTCTAGAAATCTTAAAAAACATAATTCATTAAGTTCAACCCTTAAAAATGCGCGATCATCGCCATCCCAACAAAAAACAGTTCCAAACTCGCTTTAATACACCTGCAGATTTAATTAAAGCGTGTTGAGACGATCTCAAACTGGTTTTACAAACAGATATGATATATTTTAGTGCTGCTATTGTTGTTGTTGCACTTCTTACGCTTATACTTTAACTTCTTTACTTCCACCGATCGCTGTTCTTTTCTTTTTTTCATTTCGTTCATATATTCATTCATGTATCGTCTGTCGAGCGGTGAACGCGCATTTTCGTATCACGCTTCCTCTTTCGGTTTTTTTTTTGAGAATCAATTTTAATATTGTGAGAAAATAAGAAAAATTGTTTTTTTAATCAAGTTGAAGAGGAAAATTTTAACTTTTAAGTAAAGAGAAAAGAAAGATTTTTATAAAAGAAAATCAGTGGATTTAAAATTGAAATTTAAGTGGATTTTTAAGCTAATATAGCAAACAATATTAAATTCAAAAATTTAAATAAAATAACTTTGAGTATAAAAAATTAAAAATTGTGTTAAGGACTGAACATAAAAGTAAGACAAATTGAATTTTAAAGACTGATGATATTTGAAAATCAAAGACAAAGTGGAAATTATTGAAAGATATAAGCTTAAAAATTATTAATAATGATTTAATGGACTTTATTCCGCGACTATAGAACATAATATCGAAAAAATCTTTGAAAAAGTGACGAATTTAAACATTCAGAAACTTGATTCATCATCAACTTGTTAATATTTCAAGCTCATCTTTGATTACTAAGAAAGCTCGTCAATTCATCAATTTTATCGTTGTAAACTTTCAACTTGCTGATCAGAAAAGATAAATTATAAAGCCGAAAGATTAATTTCATTCAAATTAAGAACATATTCATCTAAAAACAATAAAAAAGTGATCAGATCTTAAAGCTAATTTGTAAAAAGATTAAGAAACAATTTAAAACAATTTTGATAAATTTGAAAAAATCAAAAATTTCAAAATAATGATTAATTTGGCAACAAAAACAACAATATTAACCTTAGAATCTTATTAAAAAGAATCAATTAAGAATCAAATCCTTAAGAATTATCCAAGTGCATAAAAGTGTCCAAAAACATATCCTTTGTGCAAATATAATTCAAAACTAAAATGCCGTCGCATTTGAAAATCAAAAAAGGATAAAAAAGTGATCAAAAATATAAATTTTTAACAATTGACAACAATTTAAAATAAAAAGAGCAGCAAGATAAATAAAAATTAATTAATTAAATCCACCCATGAAACTAGGATCAATGGAAGTAAATTATTATCTCGAAAATCCCGTAATGGATATTGAAACGGAACCAGCAAATTATGCATACAGGTACATCATAATGAAATTATAAATTAATCAACGACGATAAAAATCGCCCTTTTTTTAAACCGATATGTGTCAATTGACGAGTCGAAAGGATACATGCAATTAATTTTTTTATTACTACATATTCGTCTATCCCCCGCACAAACATGTGTGTAAAAACGGAATTGAGGAAATGATCGTGGACTGTGTGAAACTTCTTGTGACTTGATGATGAGGCAATAACACATGATTACACAGTGAATTTTAATATAAAAATGTGTTACGCATGAGAAATTTTCTGAGGAAATTTAAATTTTTGTGTTCTTTTTTTTTCACTTGCGGGATCTTCTTGTGGACTGTCAATGACAATAATTTGTTTTCTTTCTTTTTCATTTTTTTTATAGAAGTAGAAATTAAAATTGAGTGTTTTTTCGGAAGACACAAAAAATTCTAGTCGTAAAAATAATGTTTTTTGAAAGACAAGGAAACGGGAAACCCGCATTGACCATGCAACCGTGAACGAAGGATTACTTCCATAAATGCTGGAATAAATAAACTTCGTTTTGTTAAATTAAGTGTGCTCTTTTTTTGTGCGTGATATCTAGACGGTGAATTCTGAGATGATGGATGTGTTGAGGGTTCTTTTTTGGGTTTATCTGGAAATTTTTACGGTTGTTTTGAATTTTATTTTGAAAAAACATTGAAAAAAAATAGAAAAACCTGTTAAAAGTTGAAAAGTGATCGAAAAATGCTTTGAAATTTGATGAATTTGAATTTAAGATTAAATTTTAAAGTTCATTTGACGTCACTAGTTTAAAATTTCAATAGTTTTCATTAAAATCAGATAGAAACCTTTCAAAAAAGATTCAAAATTCAACTTAAATTAGCAAAACACACACACACAAAATTTACCTCACAAATCCCCAAGCTCGTTAACTCATCAAATTCTAAACAGAAAAAAACACTTAACATTTTGGAGTAATGCTCAAAAAAAAACAGATTCTCGAAAGGAAGTGATAATGTGGAAGCACGTAACGTAATGGGAAATTCAGAATAGAATTACTAATGCACACGAGGTGTCCAACTTAATTAATTAGTTTTTAAATTACGGATGCATTTATTGAAGTTTGGAAACATATGAGTGATTAAGTAGAGAAATAAATGTGTTGATAGATGTTTTAAAGTACGATTGACAAATGTTGTGACTCATTTGATAAAACTTTTGAATCAGAATTAAGTTGAGGTTCATATAGATGAAATAATTGGTGTCACGAATAATTTTATAAACAGTTTATTTTGTTGACAAAATGTATTGAACATTCACATTAGTCATTCAATTGAACTTATGATACTAGTGAATTTATGAAACAGTTCGGGATGTTATGTGTCTTGATTTAAGCTGTTTTTGATCGAAAATCAATTTAATAAGAACTTGCACTATTAATATGAAAATTAATATTTTGTTAAAAAGTTTTCTGCACTTTGCAAATAATTTAAAAACAAAAACTATATATTTTTATACCCAATAATATCTTTAACTTAACTCAAAGTTCTAATTTTACATTTAAAATTAAATTATCAAATTTTGATTGCTTTAAAACATTTTTAACAAGTCTGAAAGTATCCTTGAATTTATTAATAAACATAAATTCAGAAAATTCCAACTTTGTGATAATCTTCAAAGCCAAAGCATTTAAAAATAAATACCAAAGCACACTTCCAAAAATAAATAAATCATCACAAGCTATAATTATAAGATTATGCATGAAAAAAGACGCAAAAGCGACAAAAAATATATTTTAAACTGTTCACCTTCATAAATTTTAAATTTCAAATGTGTCCTCTAAAATTAATGCTTCAATCTTTTTAAAAAGTGAATATTCATAAAATTTAATGCTATTTTTGAAATTATTGTGCTACATTTGAAGTTTTAAATCTTGATTGCTAAATTTTTTGAATAATCCTTGCTTCCTGTACTAAATTGTTGTGTACATTACAAAATGGAATGCTTTTGAGGTTAAGAAAATACTTAGGAGCGCTTACTTTTTGATAGATTGAATGAGTTTTTGATTAAAATTTGAACCAACGATTAAAATTTGATTTTTATTAAAAAACAAATTGAAGTCAATGCCACTTTTTTTATCATTTTTTAAGGACTTTCTTACTCAAACAAGCTCAAACCTTAATTTTTGCTTCACAAATCTCATCTAATCACAAAAACCTCTTGCTGGTGACTCCCCAAAAACTTATCAAACCCAAATTAATCCCTAAACTCCACCAAGACTGCAAAACTACTAAGTTCTATTAAATATAAACGCAAATATATCGTTGAAATCAAAAGACTTCAATCAAAGAACAAACACGAACTTCAAATTATCCTTATACCCATAAAATATGAAATTAATTACCCAAATAAATTTATTACTGTTTCTCTCGCAACTCATAACCTGGAAAATATTTCTCAAAAGAAAAATCACATCATTTTTCATCCACATGATATCAACACACATATGCACTTAAAAAATTTGCAATCAAGCACATGAAATGAATATTGACTTCATTAAAAGTATGAATATTGCATGCAGAAGCTCAGTAAATATTTGAATTTTAAATCATTTCAAGTTTATTTTAACACGATAACACTTGATTATTTTTAAAAATTCATTAAGACACTGCAGTGTCGGTGAGTCTTTTATGAATCATTCATTTAATTTTTATTAAATTAAAGAATATTCAAATTAATATTATAAAGTGGGGAAGACTTCTTTGTTTTTTGAAAATTAAATGCAGAAAGTATGTAAAACTCATTCATAGATGATTTCTGGTATTTACTTGGTAATTTAAGAGGCTTTGCCTTATGCACTGGTAGGGTTGGAATGATTGGAGTCTGACTATTAAGCTGAAGAATTGTCAAACGTATGCCACCTTCAATATTGTTAAATAAAACCGCTGGCATTAGAGCTATGTAGTGAAAAGACGTCTAAATAATAGATCAAATGCCTAAGCGAGAGCATCCAAACAATTAAGCTAGAGATGATTAAGTAAACAACAGACCATCATCGAACTTAACTGGTTCAAAAAACCATAAATAGCAAACAAAACCCCCCTAAACCACGCTATAACCTAAGAATTAAACAAAATTAACCCAAATTTAAAGTATCTCGCTATGACACACCCTCAAATTTCCACAAAAATGAAAACAAAACAAAAACAAAATTCCAGACACATCAAAACAATTGCAGATGTCGCAAGTTCAAGTTCACAATCATAATCAATTGTAAAACAATCAGCCGGGATTGTTTCACATTCATTTCTCCTCTTCTTCATTCACAATTGAAAAAAAAGTAACAATAAATATGAAAATATGAGTGCCCCACACTTCCCCTCTTACTCTTACTTATGCACAGCAAAATGTGCACAATTCTGTGACGTCCAAAATAAATTGTAATAAAAGGCAAATCACAAGTGAGCGCCTAGACAATGGCACTTCTCTTCAATTGTGTGCTGCCTACATAATGAAATTATTAAACGGCAATTGACATGCCATGTGACTGACTTTAAAAGTATGCAACAATTTTATTTCTTTTTTTTTGTGACGATGAAAAAAAGTAAACAATCCTGAAAAGAAATAGACAGTAATAACAATAATACGAATAATAAAAACAAATAATAATTTTAATTTTCATTTCTTTTTCGTCGCGCTCGATACTTTGAGCCGTGTGCGCTCAAAAAAAATATAAGGAAGGGAGAGAGAAAAAGCTATTGTATTTTAATTTCTATACTGTTTTTTGCCTTGTTGTTTGATATAATCTACCTGTCTATTTGTCATAACGGCTACTTTATAGTAAACATTTCATTGTTATTTTCTTCATCTCACTTACTTTACTTTACTTTGATTCTCTTTCCTTCTTTCTCTCTCTCTCCTTTTTTATATGAAAAAAAAATGTTTGTAGCTCTCTTATGAATTATTATTATTGCTGTTATTGTTATTATTATCATTTACTATTCTCTTGTTATTAATACTATTATTGAGTCTATTAGACACCATGTTAAGTAAGATGGAAGTTGAATGAATGAATTGAAGCACTTTGGGTGACAGGACAAATGAAATATATGTTCCAAGGTCAAATTACCTAAATATCACAAGTCAAATAATCACGGCCAAAAGCTGGCATGACTCTGGCATGATGCTAGCTTCGATTAAGATAAATTTCTGGATCTTTGATCGATTAACTGACTTGTGATTTTCAGGTTAGAATTAGAAATGGTGTTCAAACGACGATCTAGCGGATAGTATACTTAGAACCATACAGCAGGTATCTCCTAGCTCTAGATAATAGATGTCAACTATCTAATATTACCGAGTAGCTACTCAAATAGTATCAATGTGAGTAGTATTAAGAGAAATGTCATTAGTATCTTAAGGAATAAAGCAAAAGAAGCTAGGCTCGATTCAAAATCAGGTTTTATTTGAATCTTATTCTTCATTTCACGGATCTAATCACTAATCTCACTTGTAATTGAATTCACTAGACCAGTGGTGTCCATTTTTTTTTTGTGAAACGGCACACTTTTGGTAAGCTATGACTAAAATCTTCTTACGTTTCGTCGGATTTCCCGAATTTTTTCACGGCATAGTCTATTGTGCGGCGGCAAATGGGCTGGCCATCACTGTACTAGACTTATCATTCAGATCGAGTTCTGAAAAACTAGTAAGTGCTTCAGTTCCAAAAAAATATCTTTTTATCTCGCAACTGCGTTCCAACCTCTTCCATTCTCAAGCCTTAACTACATACTCAACACCACACATTCCTTTTTATCACGATTGATTTGTTTTGTACTGTTTTTTATTTCTGTTCCATTTCGATCTTCTTGTATCTCTTTTTCATTCATTAATAATTTTTTTATTGTTTCTTTATTGTTCAATCGCTCTGTTTGTGCTATTACACCGGTCACTTACACCAGCCGATTACAATAGATTGAAGTGACTTTTTTCTCACATTGTACGGTAATCGTGTAATTTTTTTAAATGGTCATAATTGTGTTGTTGTTCTTTTGGGGGCTCAATGTGTGGTGTGAATCGAAACTAAAGTGTTGAAAAATGAGTAAATTTTGAAGATGTGTTGAGGTAAAGAAGAAGAAGTTAACATGAGCTTTGAGTGTTGAGGGTCAAGAATTTTTTAATTGACTAATTAGTAAGAATGAGAGGATAACTATTAAAATATGAATTAAGATGATGGAATTTTAATTTTTGAAGAGCTTATGAATGTTCATTATTAACTCAAACTTTCTTAAAGCAAATCTAGAAGTGGCTCAGTCTAGTGTTGATTTTGGAGAAGAATATCAAGGGTCTAAAGTCCCAACTACACTCCCTTATTTCGCTATGACACTCAAGCAATCATAATTACGGGACTTGGACATACAGCACATTGATGCAGGCAATATGTTCGGACTGGCAAACTGTAGATTTAGATTTTCCAAAGGTCGAATTCTTTAGTAATCTAGTGTACCCAAGGTATCCTCAGGAATCAGCTTCAGATCAGATTAGTTAAATATTTTTCTGTGATTTTACTAAATTCTTAAGCTGACTATACCTAGAATAATTCCATCACAACCTTATCTCTTTGAAGACAAAAGAATTTGCATTGCAAAAACTTCCATCACATTAGCCAACAAACAAATTCATTCTGAATGTCAAACTGCAAAAATTCTTATTTTAGTTTTTAATTAATTAATTCTCGATTTCTTCCACTACCTCATATGGAACTCCCAGAAGTTTATTTTTATACGCGACATACCAAAAAGTAAAAAAAAAAAGCTTGTCTTATTAAACATTTTTAAAATTCACAAAATAATCATAATCATCCTTATAAAAAGTTCTCGACTAGAAGTTGTCTTCTAAAACAAATAAGTATAGAAACTTAATTAACATCTGTGACTTGCATTTGTGATTCATTAAAATGAGGAATGCAAATTGATTTGAGCAGATTTGAGTATTGAAATGTGCAATGTGTTTGTGGAAGAGATTAATGCACTTTTTATCGGAATTCATTTTGAATAAGCTCGAACTTCTTCTTTTCCTTCTCATTTGATTTATGAGCAATAAATACGTGATGACATTTTTAAAGCGAATCGAAAATATGTGAGCGATGAAGTTACTTCATGATTCATATGGAATCAAATAATTTATGAAGATATTTGCTGTAATAATTGTTGATTGGATGTACGATAGATTGAATAATGACACTTAATAGCTATAGCGTTTAATTATGAGAAAATGAACTTAAGGTATCATGTTGTGTGTCTTGTAAATGATGAGATGAGGGAAAACTAATGCTGAATTCTCGACATATTTGAACACGTGCTTCAAGTCGCTGTGATATAGCAATCGTTACTAATTTGAATTGTTAATTTTTTTGTTGCTGTCATCGATTTATCATAAGTAAATTATCGGATGAGAAGCTTGTCATGCTTCGCATTCCATAAATTAGAATGTTTGAGATTTCGAGTGATGATATTGAGGTTTTCGAGAGAAACTTTAAAATGTAGCAATTGAAAATTGTCTTCTGATGGGAATCGAACCCAAGTCTTAACAAAGAATGGTAAAAATGTCTGGTTTATTGTCTTACCGCTCGACCACAGAGGTCTTACTCTTGTATTGACAGATTCGTCTTAATATAAATCGAAACTTTAGATTCAGCTCGGCTTTGGCATACTATATTCTTAACTCTTAATTGACACCATTCATTAATAAAAATCATTTCAAACACCAAATTTTAACAAATATTAATTTATTTTATTATTCTTCCAGTACACCACAGTCATATTATCGAAGCTATGATGAATACATTCCAATAGGTGGATCGCCAATCCACTCATCACCATCATCACAAAATCATCATACACAATCACCACAACAGCAGTCCCATCAGACACCGACATCAGTTAACAATACAATCATCCAATCACCTCATTCACCTTCATTATTAACATCAAGTTCACCATCCATAAATCAATATGGTTATTCAATAGCATCACATCAAGATGTTGTGTTAAGTAGTAGTGAAAATCAGCAATGGAATTGTGGCAATGTGGGAGGATTGAATGGATCATCAAATATAAGTCCATATCAAACGGAATTTTGTGCTTCAAATTATAGCATTATGCAACGTCAACAATATGGTGCCAAAATTGGACCCGGTGCCAGCATGAAGAGTATAAAAGAAGCTCGCATTCGTCGACCCATGAATGGTGAATTAAAAAATAAATTTTGACTTGAAGATTTAATTGCTAATTTATATATATTTTGTGTATCTTTCCTTATTAGCATTCATGGTGTGGGCTAAAGTGGAACGTAAAAAATTGGCTGATGAAAATCCCGATCTTCATAATGCTGATCTCAGTAAAATGTTAGGTGAGTGCTGGTTTTTTTTTTGACTTTTACAATATTTAAGGAGCTATGGAATCTCGAAAAATGTCGATTTTTTGTAACTTGGGAAGAATTGCTTGAAGTTTTGTGGGCATCCGTTGTTCTAAGCATTCAGATATTTATAAATATATGGTCACTGGTTCGAAACAAGACTGTCATTCAGCATAACAAGATCAATCATTTTCAAATAATAACTTTAAGGTTTGTGGTTGAAACCAAACGATGTACAGAATTGATTACGGGTCCTTAAACCCAATTTAAAATTATAATGTCATTTTCAATCTACCAACAACTCAACACCAAATAGCCCATCAATTCCTAACATTTTGCAAATGACATCCAATTTATTATAAAAAAATTCTGCACGATTTTCAAGATTGTTGCCTAAAAACATTTCAAAATCAGAATAAATATGAAATGCATCACATAAAACTACAAATTTTTCGCAATACCAACTCACGACTGAATTACAATTCCATCTTTCATCTTCCAAACTAATTAAAATTTGATGCCACACAATGGACACCATCTTTCATCTTCCATCATCAGCTGAGTCATCGAAATTTATGCAATTCTACTTCAATTCCATTCTCAATCTCTAATATTCATGCTCCATATATTAAATTGAACAAGATCTTGTACATGCGATACATTTTAGCATTCATTGCTCAATAGTGCATCAAAAAAAAGTGAGCCCTTTCGACATCATTTTTTTCCTATTTCCAATGAGAGAACCGAGAGTTGGAGTTGAGAAGCATGTCCAAATGGATGGAGAATGTAACAAATCATTTTGTATTACTAAATACGGTAGCTAATCCGTGAAGTTGAGGAAAAAAAATTGTTAAATCCAATTAAAAATAGATTTATCTCTTTCTGAAGCCGAATGCTATGGTCGAGAAACGCACACACTTTTTTTCTTCATTTTTTTAATCTTCATTTCTCGTTTCACATATTTCTGTGTGCTGTGTTGGTCGGCTTTTGGTCGTGATTTTTTTTTTCATATTTATTCTCTTTCCGCTGTATATACATTATTTTTTGCTCTCCGCGCTGTTCACGGTTGAAAATGTAATGGCCCCACCTATTGATTTTTTTTCTTCATTTCCACATACACCTTTTAGCTATTGGCTCCATTTTTGGGATTTATGTAGACTTGTTGTATTCGGATGGACGAGTAGCATCGACCAAGCTTGTTTCTGTGTTGAACAAGACTTAAAGAGAAAATAAGAACTGATAAAATATTGCTCAAGATTTTTTTCTTTTAAATTCAAAGTCAGGCGATCACTTTAGTGCCTGGCAAAGCAGCAACGGAGAAATACGAGAAAGAATTTGCAGAATGAAGAAGAATTGCCGATAAGTTTTATGATCTTGTTTGCTGAAACAAGCCAGGGAAAGGAGCTACTTAAAATAAATCATGATGATAATAAAATGGAAGCGAAATTATCGTAGCATCGTGTGTGCATTTCATTGAATGAAAAAATAAATTTGCAATGAGATATTTGGCATAATTCTGCAATATATGCTGCTGCATACCTTTTTGCTTTATTCAATATTGAACCTCAGAGAGAAATGGGAAAGAGGAAAAAAAATATCTACTTTGGAGAAATATTTATTTATTATTAGTGGTATTTACTGCTTATGAATGCACAAAAGCGGTATTTTATTATCTATGAAATTATCTTCACTAATCTATCTAGTTGGTTTCTTTATACTGTCTGAGGATTAGACTATCGGACTTTGTTTGATTTAGCTTGATTATTATCAAATGCATTTATTTCGATAATCTACAAAGATCGCAATTTAAACTTGATATTTATAGAATTGTGTGAGCTGAAGTGGCTCGGTGGCGGAATGGTTTAGTACTTCGGTACCTAATTATTGCAATACCGACACAGCGATCATGGGTTCGAGACTGGGTATGGGAAATTTTTCACTTGTTCTTTTTCGAATCATATGTACTGGAAATGAGGCTCACAGCCTTCCTTTGTAGGCTACAGACAGAAATGTCATCAAAGGAGTGGTTCGGATCCCACTATAAATTGTAGGTCTAGGTTTGAGTGCAGTGGTTTGGCGCATCCTCACTCGTTAAACTCTCATTAGCTGCGAATCGCCCTAGCGCACCTCTGGATCACAATTGATCTGAATAGGTAAAGGTTTTTTTTTTTTTTTTTTTTATTTATAGAATTATCAATCACATGGGCTATATCAAAGATGCGGGGCTGAACAAATGATTGTACAGCATTAGTCTAGATTTTTTCAAAACCAAAGTTAATTTCGTTACAAAAAAATGTCAGAGGTCGAGCGTAGGTATAGTTTTTTACCAGACATTAGAGTCGAGTGTTCATTCAAGTCAGTTTTTCGGGTTTTTTGATGCTCTGTCTAGTGCTCAAAGAACAGGCGCGTAACCATGAAGGGGAATTTGGAAGACAACTCCCCCGACGTTAACAGAAATTTCTTCATTTTGTTCATTTTACCCCCCCCCCCTTCCCTCTGAAGTTTCCATATAATTTTTTTTGACCCCCCTTCAAATTCCTGGCTACGCCCCTGCTAAAGAAGATTTAGTTCTCCACACTGGTTTGTATAGCTACCTAGGGCATATATTCTTGAATCTAAAACTAATGGACTCTCATATGTGTTTCAAATAAAATTTTACTATGAATGAGGCAGGGTACAGAAGATTCTATCATCGATCATGACTCAGAGCCACAGATAGTTCATTGTATCGCGTAGGCAAATATTTTTTTAGAGGAACTCAAGCAATCAATCAACCAAGCCTTCTATATTATATGATAGGATACAAAAAAGGACCTTCGAAACCGGCACTAAGTCTACATTCTTTAAAACAGAAAATACAAAACACCTGGCAACTTAAAGAAACTAGCCGCATCGACTTGAGTTAAAGCTTTGTTAAATTTATAATTATTGCCATAATAAGGAAAGTCTTATCTTCCACGCACTTCTAATGTTGTATAATAAATATTTTCTATTATGCCTGATAACTTGAAGTAAGTGAAATATTGCCGAGTATTAAAATTACTGCTGTACACTAAGCTACCGTAGATATAAATTTATTCAAACTTGAAGCATTTGTCATTAAAATTTTCCATAGTTTAGTCAGTCTTCATTTAAATTATGCATCCAAGAACATAAAATTCACTTTAAAATTTATGAAAATGAGTTCCACATTTTTACAGCCCCCCATAAAAAAAAATCAAAATAATTTCCCTTCAATTCCTCCCAAAAATCCAATTAATTCTCGTCATTTCTGCCTCTCAGTCTTAATTTATTTCACATCACATAAGAAAGTTTTTCATATACTTTATTTTATGATGATTAATGAGAGAGTCATCAAAATGATTTAAAACTTTCCGCTATTTAAATCATCGAAAAATGAAATTACGGCAGAAGATTTTATATATGCATTAAATGCTTCTGTATATGCGAGTGAACGAGAGCCAATAGAGAAAGGAAAGGAAACATAAAAGGTCAAAAACTGTTCTTTAAATCTCTTTCTTTATTTCTCCCCTTGTACATTTTGCGCTCATGTCTTTTTTTCTCCTTTTTCGACAATAAATAACAGAAGTGCCATACATAAAACAGTCAGAAGTAGGAGCAACAAAGAGAAAAAAGCCAAGACACCTCTGTACTTCAATTCATGGTCTATTTGACATCTTCGAGGCTCTTTATTCAGCTTGAGAAACATCAAAAAAATAAAGTAGAAATAAAAAAATTTAAATAAATGTTACGGCACATTTTGTAATGAATGCATTAAGTCGATGGAAATCGTCTATGCCAAAAATGAAATGAAAGATTCGCTTTGTGAGCTAGCCCTTGGGATGGTTGGTATGCTGATTTTTATGAAATTTGATTTGGTACTTTTGTAAACTTTCTGATTTTTTAATCGATATCAATCGATGTAAAAATGTTCTTAAGACAGAATCAAGCATGTTAAGATGTTAATACGGCAGCATTGGGGTTGCCTGCTTTCCATTAAAATTCTTATCAATCTTTAGTATCAAGCACGGAGCCAAGCAAGTGTTACAAGATTTTAAAATCAACAAAATCTTTCAGAATAATTTATTTAATTATGCAAAAATGACCTTAAACGTTTATAAAAAAAATTAAAATAATCTACATTTGAAAAACGATTTACTAGCATGTGAGTTTCTATCAGACTCTCTCAAGTATACACAAATATTTTTGTTGTTTTTTTTTCTGAAAGAGTATGAAAATATTTTTAACCGGATGTGATGACGATCCCTTCCTTCAATCAACTGAGCGAAACGTTTAGTAAATTTTAATGAGAAACACAGAGTAGAAGAGGAACAAAAACTACATGAAAATTTAATTTATATTTTGTTCTTTATATTGAAAGTTAAATTTAGATTTAAATTAAATTAAAATAGATGAATTTGAGGGATTTTCTATCGATTCAATTTGTTATTATGCAAATTTTGAGTCAATTCTAAGCTTTAATATTTTGAGTAAGTAATTAGAGTCAGTAATAAAATTTTGATGGTCTTCCAATTCGTTTTTCTGTCAATTGAATAGTTTTTGTAGATTTTAGATTAGAAATTGACATTAAAATTGTAGTTAAGTAAACTATAGTCGTAGGATGACCTTAAGGTACTCTAATCTAGCAGCATATACTTTAACTATGTCCCAATAATGCAACAAGAGTCAGTATCTAGTGCTACTCGGGCTCCCTACTCTAGAATCCGTGTACAAACCTTTAAGTGTGAATTCTTGACTTTGACTTGTGTAGGTACCCAAAAAAAAAAAATCGATCCTAGAAGTATAAACCAAAATTCATAAAATCAAAAAAATAAATTCAATTAAACAAACTTTAAACCCAGCCTTAAAGTAATCTGATTCTCAAACTTTATATCCCATAAACTTGCCATTCCAACTTAACCGAAAAAAATATTCCATTAAAGTGATTTCATCATGGCAAACATAACTGTCTATAATTTAAAGCATTCAATGAA